AGGTGGTGGTGAAGGCTTCTGGGAGTTGAAGTCCAAGAACATCTGGAGGGCCACAGTTCGACACCACTGGTCTAGAACTGCAGTGTTTTGCAGATTTTGACTGGGCAGCTAGTGAAGTTGATAGGAAATCAATTTCAGGTTTAGCTAATTTTTTTAGACAAGTCCTTAATAAGATGGAAATCTAAAAACCAAACTATAGTTGCAACAAGTACTGCGGAAGCAGAGTACACTGCCTTGAGTGAAATGTGCAATGAAGTCATATGGTTCAAACAATTATTAAAAGATGTAAATGTAATAATTGATTCACCTGTAAAAGTGTTTTGTGATAACACAGCATGCATTCAGCTGGCTAGTGAATGCAGGGTGAAAGGCAGGAGTAAGCACATTGGCATAAGATTTTGCAATGTGAAAGATGCTGGAGAGGAGAGAGTCATTTGGTTCAGCTACAATATTGCCCAAGTGAAAATAATCTGTCTGATATTTTTCACTAAACCCTTGACATCTGAAAAGCATGTAGATGTATGTGACCAGATGGGTTTCAACAATTTGTCGATTTAAGGAGGAGTGTCAAGATTTGTTCCTTTAAGTGAACAAGGGGTTAAAATTAACATTGTAGTGAGAATGCAAAGTCATGCCTGTAAACGTCAAGTCAATGGATGACTGATGCAACTTAGGTAGTTGTCAGAAGGTTCGTTAGAAGTTTTAGGCGGTCCCGAATTTGGCACGGAAACAGTAGGAGTCAAATTGTTCAAACCATAACAATTTTTATTCAAACTCAACAACGGTGTGTCAATAACAACTTCTGTAGGGATAAACGAATCCCACCTATTAAACTGTCCATCAAATGTATCATGATTGTCATAACTGTAGTCTCTTCTCAAAACTGGGGTGCCGGTCCAAACCTCTCCTTGTCGTTCGGCTTCCTCAGAGGTGCGCTCCTTACTGTGGATATAGTGCCGCAGCATGGATGGCGGGCCCAGTCCCCCTCCAGGGGTGGTTTGTTGAAGGTGGAATCCGGCCGCACCATCTTCTTCCAGGGACCGCATCCTCTCGGGTATACCACCACCATCCATTCTATGGTTTCTTTTATGGTAATTCCTTCTTTTCCTGTCACCTGATCTGGCAATAAACCACCAACCTTCAAGTTGGGGAAGTCCTTTAGCAGGTTACTAACATCCTCCTGTTTCTTCACCTCTTTCTCCTTCTTTTCCATCTCAGTTCGAAAATCCCACACTCCTGTCCCCGTTTTTATGTCCTCCTCCCATACATCTATCCACTGCTCCCCCCCTTCCCTTTCCCCTCCTCTGACAAGCACACTTCTATTTTAACCTTTTCCTGGTCTTCCTTCCCCTTTGACACTTCCCTCTCCTCTCCCTCCCCTTTAACATCCTTGTTTTCTGGAGGAGACAGTTTCACTCTTGTCATCCTGTCTTTCACAGTAGTGCTCGTTAACCACATTCAGCTGCTATGTCTGCAGTGATAGGCTGCTCTCGCTATTTAAGCAAGAGAGTGAGAACATCACTTTGCCACTCAGTTGTGAGTCTGGTGGTCATTACTTCTGTGAGTGTTATGTTGTTCTGAGAGATCTGTGCCTATGTATATAACGCCATGTATATATGTCTGACCAATGCTAATATATCAAGTCTAATATATTATGCTATAAGTCTTATCAGAACTCTCTCGGTTTTTTTCCTTATACCTCCGCGTCTTTGCTCTGCTTATAAAGGGGAGGATTTGAAGCTACCAGATAAGAGACTCTGTGTAACTTGTTATCTTGGGCTCCAAGGTTTGTTTTCTCTAAGAGAGTGCTCTTGGAAGTTTCATTATCCAGATCTGACTCCAAGCTTCTGGAGAGCCAAATGCCACATCTGTCTTTGGAGTTGGACCTGCGCCAGCAGTCACATAGTATCCAAGCAACACCTAGATAATTAGGGCAGTATTTTGTCATTATTTAGTCACCCTCT